CTTCGGACATTTTCCTCAGCGCATCCTCCTCACCTGTTCGCCACCCAGGCGACAGTCCCCTGGATTCTGACTCTCCCTTCACGTCCCCCTCCTCCCTTCTGCCCCTTCATTCGCGGAACACGTGCAAACGTCCTGCTTCACTTGACAACTACTCTGCAAATATCCTCAATCGTGATAGGGACGATGGCGAGGATGATTATGAGGATGATGAGGATGATAACGAGGACGGAGAGACCGTCGCTAATGACTTGGCTGCATTTCCTGGCATTGGTAACCGCCGCTTCTATCATCCACGCTTCCACTCTCCCTCGCTGTCGCACCAGCCCTCAGGCCGTCCTCGTCCCACAGCAACTCCCGCGGCCTCTTGCCGCTCCTCGCCGCGAGGCCCCTTCCGTGGTCTGTTTGACATGAAAACAACTTTGCATGAAAATGGCGGCGATACCGCATCAGGCTCCTCCTCATCGCCGCCTCCGCCGTTTGGTGGAGCCTGCGATGAGGTCTTTTGCTTCTCTCCCCCAAAATCCTGTCCTACGGCCGACCAGCATCTGCAGCCCAGGAGGACGGAACACCACAGGATCCCCTGCGAAGAAGCAGAACACCGGCAACAGCAACTGAATGATGCTGACGATGAGATCGCCAAGGCCGCGGCGGCCCTCTTGCAGGACACAAGCGCCGCCGCGACCCCTGGCGTTGCGGAGACTGTGACAGGCCTCAGGTCGCCGAAGCCGCTTGGTAACGTTCCCTCCCGACCTCCCCGTCATATGTCTTCATTTCCGCCAGTGCTATCCTTGCGCTACGGGATTCAGGGCTCCGGGCACCATCGCGGGCTTGATTTGGATGCTTTTCTGGCGCACTGATGACCCATTCTGGCTCGCCGCAGGCGTCGCATTTGTGTGTGTGTCCGACATATATTTATTCAGATGCAGACTGGCTACAGTCTGCGCATGTATATTTCCGATGATGACGCATCCCATGGTGGCGCTCAGATTCGAGCTTTTCCACC